TGGCCCAGATGTGAGGCACATCAGGCCTAACAGGTCTACTGGGGGTGAACCACACACACACACTGTCGACCACTTTGACCTTAAAGAAGCTCTCATCAACCACTTCTGGTGCAATAGGACTGGAACCACAGTGGTGAGTGAGGGCAGGCACTGCTGGCTAAAATCACTCCTCAACACACACACACACACACACACACACACACACACACACACACACACACACACACACACACACACACACACACACACACCTCTGCCATCAAGAACTCCCTGAAAATCAACCACAGTGGGATATCAATGTATACAGCTGGCATAAAAAGACATGATAATGTGTTCTTTTCCCAGCCTGGTTGAATAAGATTTCATAGATGAACTTCCAACTCTCCACTGAAATGGATTAGTCAAACTGGATTGACTCTATTTGCCAAGGGCTTAGACTTCCCCGCCTACATCCAGATTCCTTTAGAGCATGCTTACTGTGTTTCAATGGGACAGGGTCATGGTAAAAATGTTAGTTTTGCGTAACATTTTGCACAAATGGAAGACAAGGAGAAAGGAATGCTGAAAAGATACTAAGAAGCCCAAAAGCAAAACTCACTGGAAACAGAGTGGCTTGTTGAATCACACAAATTTAGTTTCTTCACACCTAAATCACTCACAGCAATGTCAAGAACGGATCACACATAACAGGAACGCTCTGGAAGAACAGACAAGTTACTCAGAGGCAGTGTCCGCCCGTCTGCCAGCATCAAGCTTCTCACATCTAAGACTCGTTACTTGATAAATCCTTAGATCAAGAAGAGGAATTCAGCAAAGCAGAGTCTCGTTTCCCTAACCTCCTTACAAAGCCGGTACTGACTCGATCACAGGGCTCACACTCAGTGGCAACTTTCGAGGACAGAAAACGGGACCGTGTGTTGGCTACAAGTTGAACAAAGCACCATCGTGGCACGCGCAGCCCTGGTGCCAAGTAGACGCGGGCTGGTTGCCGGGATGCAGGGGCCGCTCACTGTGCGCCAGGCTGGGTGCGTAATTTGCACGGCAGAGGGAGCAGATTGCAGATGCCCTGACCTGTCAAACGCAGGTAGGGCCTCGGAGATAATGGGTCCCAGCGAACAAAGCTCTATCCTGCTCCAGACACTCTAGCACCACACGGAGTGCCAGATGGATGAAAGGAAAGACAAAAATGCAGGCCCCTGTCAGCCCCACAGGAAGAGCCCGCATCCACGGAAGATGACAGACAGCAGATCCCACGTGGCACCCGCCCAAGCCGTCAGGCCCGTCTTGTGCCCGTGCCAGGAAGTCACCACAGCAGAGGGGAGACCAATCTGTTCAGAGCCAGGAAACAGAATCACTTGGGAATGGCTGCACCCGCGGGTAAGGCCAGTCACACAGACCTGCGCCCAGGTGCCCCATCCAAATGGGAAACTGTGTGCTGAGTGCAGTGGACAAGAGCTGGAGTGCCACAGGAAGCCACCACGTACCCTGCTGGTGTTTGCCAACAATGGTCCCCATGTTTCCCCAACACTCAAAGGGTGCATCGCAGCCTCATAGATGTCCTGTGTCATAAAGACAGGTGGCTCAAACAAGAAACCATTCTACAGAGCTGTTTTTACTTGGGACACAGCATCTGAGTGTCCACCAGAGGCTGAGACTGCAAAAATGGGGTACCATGAAGGACCTGAACAGTCAAATCCCAAATCACTGAAAGACAACAAGGGTACAGCTGGGCACAGCTGGGCACACAGGAGCAGACAAGCCTAGTTACCACCCCATCCTCACCAGAAGAGGCGGGAAAAGGTCCCTGTAGCTAGTCACATGGAACGGCCAGAGCTTAATGGTCATCAGCCATGCCCTGCCCTTGTCAGACAGTTTTGTCTTTTGAAGGAAAACAAGTTTGCAGAGGCAGGGAGGTCCACAGTTTGCAAAACAAGCCAGATAGCACAGCAGGTGCAGCCAAAGGTTGGCAGATCCAATGACTGTGTGCTTCATGCTGCGCAGGGCTCCTCACTCCACAGCGCACACAGCCAGGCCTTCATCAAGCCTTGCAGGACAAAACAGCCTCAGAACTGAGAATGGGACAAAAATCACGGATTTCTAACTCCAGATGGGGCCTCAGAGACTTCTAAAAAGGTCAGAACTTCCAACCCTTTTTCTTCCTTGTGCAAACGACTTCTCCTTTATCTACTTACCTACCTACCTATTTTTGACAAGCCAACAAAGGAAAGAAGTTTTTCTCCATCAGAGCTTCTTCCCCAAGTTCCCAAAATGGTCAGGGCTGTGCTAGACCAAAATTCTGAGTGCCAGGGACTGAAGGACTCGGAGCCATTACCTGCCATCTCCCTGGTCTGCACTGGCAGAGGGCAGGAGCCAGAACACATGGCCTGAAACCCAACCAGGCACTCCAATACAGGACAATGAGCATTGAAAACACCTCAGGCAAGAGGCCCACCCCGCCAACTACCCTAAAAGCCCAAAAGCACAAAATGACTCAGAAAATATCTGCTTAGGCAGAGCAGTCATGAAAAGACAGTGGAGGGTGGAAGTTGGCAGCCCCACACTCCCCAAAACCACACAAGAGCCTATAGTCACCTTAGATACACTGTCCATTTGCTCCTGGAGTTGAAGTGATGTGACCCAAATCATGAAGTGGCTTAGAAGCAAATAGGATGCGAGTTATCAGAATTCAATTTCAATGTTCCTACTTTCTTACTGTTTTGGTAAGGAGAGAGAAACAGAAAGCTACCTTCCATCTGCTTGTTCAATCTACAAATGCCTGCAATAGCCAGGGCTGGGCAAGCAGAAACAAGAGCCTCAAACTGGGTCTCTGACACGAGTGGAAAGATTCCACGACCCAGTTCCTTTAAGGATCAGGAAAAGGCTGGGTCAGCCGGGTGTTCATTACATGAGGAATCTAAGCCATGAGGACCACTGAGTGGTAAGAGACTGTGGATACTGGTTTAGCCAGAGAGAAAAAGCACTTTGTCAAGAGCATACATTTCAGATGCTTAAAAACATACACATACCCACACATATGTCAAGGGGCCAAGGCAGTGTATTTTCATGAAAGACACATCTAGGACAGGACACTGGGCACTTGTAAGAGTCAAAGAATAATGATGGGAAAAGCAAGAAGAGATGGGCAATGGTGGGATTGCTCACAGGATGCAGGCTCGTGGAGCCCAGCCTAGGTAGTACAGGCAGATAATGTGACCAGTAAGAACCGGCTGCATGTGTCTGAGAGCACCGGGTTCAGGCAGAAAATAAGGAGCAGAGGCGGAGGAAGGACAGTAATTTTCTCCCCAAATTCTGCTCCACATGTTATGTCACCCACCATGGCAACATCCGATCCCCCCACCCCAGGACTGCAGGCAAAAACCCTATCATTCCGCGTTGTCTCCAGGTCCCCCTAACATTCCTAATCCATGTGAATTACTCTAGTCTCTGAGGCAGGTAGGTGTCTCAGCTGTCACATGCGACACCTGCCTCCCCTCCTGGGAGGACACCACTCCGCTCCTGGCTCCATTTTGGATTTTAGATCCCCGCTCAGGCACAACTCAGGGATGCTGATTCAAGGACTCAGAGGACCTGGGTGGAATCCGGGGCTGCTGGCTTCATCCTGAGCCAACCCTGGTTGCTGCAGGCATTAGGGGACTGACTGGACAACAGATGGGAGATCACCAACCGTGTTCTCTGACTCGCTTTCAAATGCATAGAAACAATTACTTTTGTTTTTAAAGAATATTACTTTTGCTCTTGGCTTTTCCTTTGGGATACAGTACCTCCAACCTGCAGTTAAATGTACGGTTAGAAAGCAACAGCCTCAGTTGCTAGCTGTAAACACGGAGCGATCGGCAAACGGTACTGAGACTCCTGGGATTTCGAAGTCCTTTCTCATCTATGGAATCACATCAGCAGACCTTTCCCATAATTTTTAAATAGAATGGTTATTTTTGTTACCCCAAATGTTGGATATAAAAGATAACCTTCTGAAGTGCACATTTATAAATACTGCTTTTCCGTCCACAACGTACCATGAGAAACATACCGCTCATCCATATTAACCTCTGACTTGCAATAACCTTGGCTTAAAATACTGGGCAACTTGGAAACACGCAAACGCATACGGAAATATATATTGCTACTTCCGTTCAAGGAAAGCAATACTAAATCCTAAGCACAGAATGAGAATGTATTTTTTAAGATCACTGTTTCTTTTTTTAAGCTCATTTATTTATTATTATTTACTCAAAAGCAGAGTGAAAGACAGAGATTTTTTTTTTTTTAACCTATTGGTTCACTCTCTGAATGCCAGCAACAACAGGGCTGGGCCAGGCCAAAGCCAGGAACCCCATCTGTGTGTTCCCAAGTGGGTGCCATGGACCCAGCTACTTCAGCCCTCAACTGCTGCCTCCCAAATTGTGCCCCAGCAAGAAGCAGGGTCAGAAGCAGAGGCAGAGCTCTCAGACGTGACATGGACCCCCAAGCGGTAGCCCAACTCACCTCTACAGATTATTATACACACTCCTGGAGACATCTCTGCAACATCCATGTGCAAACACTTTGGTCTCAGGATAACTTTATACCTCCTTCACGTGGATAAAGACTCCCCAAGTACTTACTCTGAACACAGATCAAATCTACCAATATACACTGAATTAAAGCTGAGAATATTTAAAAAAAAAAAAAAAAAGAATCAACTACTTAAAAAAAAAAAAAAAACTAATTTCAAGGAAAGAAAACTCATACTAAAAATAAGCAGGAGTTTCCCAAACTTGAAGGCTGGCAGCAAACACAGATGCACAAATAGCCCAAGGCATATCACAGGACTCTCGGCCCCTGACAAACACACTTCCTAATTGAGAGAGAACAAGACAAGACGATGCAGTATCTTCCTTTCCCTGCTGCTGGGAGTAGGGGTTCCATGGAGCATGCTTTTAGAGTGGCTACAGTCCAGCGGCTGCGGTCACCGTTCTTTTGTCCAGCCCTGCTACACTTACAGGTCTCCATGCCTTCATCGTCGTCATCCACCGAGGGTTTGTCGTAGGACTTGTCGATGGCTGCGCGGAAGCTCTCGTTGCAGCCCCTCCCTCGGATGATGCGGGGCCGGGGGCGGTGGAAAGGGATGTCCCCGTTAAGGGTGACTTCGGCCACGGCCGTCTGCAGGCTCTCCAGGGAACTGGACTTCTTCAGGCCCAGGGAGGGCCCCACGTCTCGACTGGGGGAACCTGGAAGGGCGGGAAGGAGGGACGGGGACAGAACGTCAGTCATTGGGCAACAGCTGTGAGATCCAAACGCCCCAGCATCTATGTTTAGGGAGAATTTCAGGGACCAACTCGATTCGCTCAGTTATTAACTCTGGAATCTAATGCACACATCAAGTCATCTAAGAGCGTCCAGAGGAGTATCAAACTCAGAGGTATTTTTCAAGTTGGCGAAAACCATGTTAGACTCCCAAGGGCTGAACACCCATAATGCAAGACTCTAAAAATCTGACAGGCTTCAAAAAACACAGGGAACTTCTATGCATGCAAGCACTCAAAACGCTTCAGATTTCAGCAGCGGCCAGTACCCAACCTGAAGTGATACACTCTAAAATTTTTCCCATTTTATCCTTTTGTCTAATTAACATCAGGGAACACTGTCTTCATGAGTTACCCATGTCTGTCTTAAGAGGCAATTTCCATTAAGCTTTTTTGCTCCATGTCACATGAATAACTTAAAAGGGTCCAAAGCACATCTACATAGGAGGAACGATGAGGCAGCTCAGACAAACACCCAGCAAAATCATTCCGAGGCAACAGAAAACGACCTGCACCAGCAGCATCACAAGGCCCTCTCTCAGGGCACTGCTGTCCTCCAGGCCTCACCAAGGTGAGGGAGCGCCAGGGGCTAGGTCACCAAGACAAGGAGGGGGCCACCAGACCCCAGGCTCCATTCTATACTATCCCACACTGACAAGCAAGGAAGGAAACCAGATCAGATCTACACTCTCACAGCTGCAGGCCTGGAAAGAAAGCCTTTGTGTAGGACAGGAGGGGAGACAGAAAGAAGGAGGCATGGTAATAGCAAAGAAATCGAAGTGCAGACCCAGGACACTGGAGAAGCACATGCATTGTTGCGGGCCTAGCTGAGGGAAGCCTGGGATACTAAAAGCAACAGAAGCAAACTTTGAAGGCGATCAGAGCTGACTGCTATAACCTGATGTGGCATCCTCATCCCTCAGAGCCCAAGCAGGTACTCAGGGAGGCTAATGTGGCCTCCCCGGGACGCGATCACCAGCCTGGCACCACCACCTGGGCAACCCGGATACTGACGCAGGGTCTTCCCTGACGTGTTAGAAAAGACAGATGAAAACGCTGAGCGGTGGGGGCGACTAAATAGTTTATCTCAACATGGGGTCATCAGCCCATATGTTGATCAATAATTAAGGAGTCGCCTTGTCATGTTATTAGCTGGAAGACAAATAGGTGTGACACGGGCTTTCTGTAGCTCGGAGTATTATTAAATAAAAAAAATTAAATTAAATCATGAAGAGTCAAAACAAGACTGATCTTAGCATTCACTGACGTTACAACTTGCATGTGATTTTCAAGATGGGGCAGCAGTTTTAATAAGAGCAGGCAAGATAAAACTGTAACCTAACAGGGTGCTCGACCAGTCCTGGCTCGGTGCCCCAGCTAGAGTGCTTGGGTTCAAGTCTCAGTACCCCCCTGACTTCAGCTTGCTGCCAGTGTAGACGGTAGGAGGTGGGCAGTGCCAGCCCAATCAGCTGGGTCCTTGTCACTCCTACGGTCACTTGGTTGGAGTTATTTGCGGAATGAACCATCATGGGAACTCTCCACCCAACATCCCTCTCAAATGAATGACTACGTTAAAATTTTATTAGAAAGAAAGAAGGGCAGATCTATGAATCTACTAAAGAAACAATATTTTATGACTGATTTGCACTGGGAAGACAAAGATGATACAGCTAGTTGTCTCCGAAAGTATGTGTGTAGATTTCATTTTATAGATAGAAAAGTACACATGAAATATTACTTTCAAGGAAATAAATCAAATTTTTTTTTTCCTTTTCATAGCACTGTAACACGTGGTAAGCTCACTTTTCAAGTGCTTCATAAAACTCAGGAAAAGGAAATTTGTTCCAAAGCAGTAAATAAAAAATAAGAAATCAAACAAACTACAAAAAGATCATCCACAGGCAGTGATTTTCACCTTATACCTTCTAGAGTTAGCACTAAGAATAGATCCTAAATAAATGATGCTACAGATTTTTAAAGTTTACCAGATGTATTTTGTTTGCCTAATCAGGCATGAGGCAAATAGCTGGTGCTTTCCTGGGTCCATAAAGGACACGTGGATTGGAGTGCACGTGTGTCTACACACACATTTGTCTAATCTCCCAGACAGATTTCCCAGTCCCACTGAAAAGGATCACAAAGGTCAATGTTTTAAGCTGTTCTTTGCAAAGTCATCTGAGGTTTATGAACACTTCAATGGTTAATTCCAGAAATGCTGTGAGTGTTCATTAAAACTGGATGCTCCTCAGCACACACAGAGGCAAATGTGAGAAGCAACGCAATGATAAAAGTGTGATCAACGAGGCAAGAACAATGACATGAAACACAGGGTTGAGCTCTCTCGGTTTTGCCCGTGATCCATGACATCAAGCCAACAGGTAATGGTGGTGGGTACTGGGCTTCACCAGAAGTGCGTCAGCCACCCTCCATGCGTTACCATCTTCACAGCAAGTTGTACAAAACGTGGGCATCTGTCTGCTGTGGAGCTACAACAAGCATCAGCAGGACTTGGGCGAGGTCTGAAAGCATGTACAGGCATACCCCTTCATTCCCATATTTCCACGCAAGGGGCCGCAACAGAGACCCCATAGCCTGTAGCTGCCTTACCAACAACACAGGTATCACACAAAGAAGTGATGTTATTTGTAAGAGAACCATGAACAAAGGAAGAGAGAGAGAGAGAGGGAGAGAGAAAAGGAGACATCTCCATCTGATGGTTCATTCCCCGAACACCTCCTAAAGCCAGGGCTGGGTCAGACAAAAACCAAGAACTAGAAATTTGATTCAGGTTTGCCATGGGGGTAGCAGAAGCCCATGTATGTTAGCCATCAGCTGCTGCCCCCCACCCCAGGGTGCTTTAGCAGGAGGCTGGAATCTGAAGCAGAGTCAGGGAACAGAATACTGGGCTCTATGAAACTGAATGTGGGTGTTTCCCAAGTGGCAAGCACCAGCAAAGACCCTGACTGACAGATGAGGGTTTCCATGTAAGGCTACCAATGCCTAAGGTAACAAACTCAGTTTCTTCTTGCAATGAAAATTTTTAAATTCTCTCTATAAACTAGGAGCAAAGATTACAGAATTTAGTCATACAAAAAAAAAAACTGTAGTTTTAAGTTTGCACATGCAATTTCCAATCGTGTATTTCACAGCAAATCCTGTAGGACATTTGTACATGTTGATGCTCCTGTCTGTTTCTATCTCATGGATTAAGCCATTAGAAAAACCAGTTCTTTCATATGGCTGCTCTCAAAGTAAAGCAAATTTCCACCCTCTCCCATCCCCCCAAAAAACCCACAATACAAGATCTCGGAAGCTGGAATGAAAGGTGAAATCATAATCCCACTATTTTCTTTGGATTTGGTTTTTTGCTTCTGCCACAAACCATCCCTCTTGGCAGATGGGAGGGAGACTGCAAAGGCAGGCAGGAGGGCAGGGTAGTGGGTCAAGAGAATGGAGGATGTTTTTTAACTGGGGACTCCACTGTACTGAGAAGTGCTCACAGCTGTACGGATGATCTGGGCTAAAAGTGCATGTTACATGCCCCAGAACCCTGAACTACAAAGCCACAGTGATTCTGAAACAGCAATGAAGAAATGAAAAGACATAGAAATCTATTCAGTGTTCCATACGGAGTGGGGAGGGATCCATTTAGATATTCACCTCACATCCATTTCAACTCAGCAGGACCCAAAGCATGTCAGTGTCTATACTCTCTATTTTTTTATCCCAATTTAATTTGGGGGAAAGGATGACTCGTGGTACACAAAGAAAGGAACTCTTTAACATCTTCAAAAAGAAAAACCAAGGGGGCAATCTGATTAGATCTTCGTGATAACAGTTACAGAATACTTTTAGTATTACAATCCAAGTACCACTGTTCATTTCACAAGAATCACAAGAAATTATTCTTTTCAGATCTGAGAGCAGATCTGAGTTGGGCTAAATCAAGTATCTTCTTCATTTTTACCTACATGGCCTCATACACAAAGCTATGCAACGTTAACCCAAACAATTTGGTTTGTGTAAATACTAACTTGAGTAAGGAGCGCTAATAACACCACCAGAAATTAGTACTTTATACATCGGAACTACCAAACAATGTTGCTCTTTAGTCCTTCGTTAGAAATTCAATGAATTTTAGATTTGATAAGAAAAAATAACGACATGGCAAAAGCTGAGGCCACAGTTAATTGTGTTACAACACAGTTAATCTTACGATTCACCGCCCGTTAGTCTGATCATCTGTCTTGGACTCTGCAGAAGATGATCCCTCCAACCAAGTCCACGATAATCACCACTTCTGGACGCGCGAAGCTCATTTTTCACGCAGGCTAAACCTGGTTACGGGCGCAGGTTTCAAAGGTGACTGCAAGCTCATTAGGAGCAAGCAGCGTGAGGGCCTTTGCTGGGACCGAGCATAATTAAAGCACTACCCCAAAAGACAATCATAAATCATAAAGGCTCAACAGCATACATCCGCGTTTTCTTACGGTGAAAGACTTTCCACGGATGAGGTTTGGACAACAACGTGCAGCGAATACGGCCACAGAAAACCTGATACTGCGTGGATAAGAGTAGAAGCAGCTTAGGGACCGAGGGAGGACATGGAGTCACCAGCATTCTGCAGTCTGCTCCTGTGCCCAGGTAATGATCCTCTATTCCTGTATCTGGGACTAATGGTGGCACTAGGGTACTGTGAGGGATGCGATGGGCCAATGCCTCTAAGCCCACTGTTGCTGTTCAGGTCAAAATACCACTCAGAGCATCACACTGTGGAGTTCAACCCAGATGCCATCTAGATGACTAAACAGATCACGCTTCCAGGGTTTCGATTCTTGGTGTAACTGTCATGAAACATTCCTACACAAATACAATGAAGGAAACCTAGGCTGCTGTCAGTGTTCTGAAAAGCACCGATTCCCACTTCCACACATAGCTATATACAGCACAGATACAGCACTCCTCCTGGGAGATTTATCCCCACCCCCACCCCTTCTATAAAACATCCTGGCAGGACTGGGACTGAAGTATTTATGTTTACATAACACTATGATTGGCAGCCCTGTGATTGTGATAAGCTCCTTGGACCACAGTTTCTATGGCAACAGCCTAACTGTCCGTTCTTACCTGATGGCTGGTCATCCACTGTATTGAGTTTAGTCTCGTCAGCTACTGTTAAAAGGTAAATGTAGAATGGTTAGCCCGGTTAGTCCCCGGCGTCCAGCATGCTGCAACCATTCCCAGATTGGGTCAGTCACGTGACAACTCTCAGGTAACATTTCATGCAGATAATGACAAAACGTCCAGCCAACATTCCTCATCAACATCAGGGGGCGGGAAAAGCAGTGTCTCCATGCATATGCAGTCATTTCCTCCCAGACACGTGTGTTATTTCCAGGTTAGCATGTTGGAATTAGCCAAGGCAAGGCACTGCCTGATTTTTTTCTTTATGCGTGTGGTAAATTAATTAATGCTTTTTAGTCTTGAAATATGAACAGCCACCAGAGAGAGGCGTAAGGCACAGTTGATCAACAAGGGCTCTTGAAAATTAGCGATTTACAGATAGATTCATTTTAGTTTCTTTGGAATGTATGGTGGATTCGGATATAATGATAGGCCACCTGATGGGCGACTGAACACCCATGGGCCTTTGCAGCTTATCCTCCACCAAATACTTTCAACAGAAAATATTCTGTCCAATTATTACTGTGATTGAGTGCATAATTATCAAAGCAATAGGGATTTTTTTTGTCGTTGTTACTATCAAGTAAATCTTAAAGAATAGCAATGAAAGGAAGAGTATCATATGGTAACCAAATTCCAGACATGGATTGAGATAATGGTTTCTCTCCAATATTTTTTTTTTTTTTCAAAATATCCCACCACCAACCACATACAATTTCTACAAAATTGATTTTTTTCAGTTGAAGTGTTAAAAACATGTTTTTAAACTAGAAATACATGAACACAGCATAGTATACACATGTGTTTGTTTCATTTCTCACAAGAAAACATATATATTAACATATTGCGTGCTAACATACTGCATATGTAAACACGCCACTCAGGAGTAGTATGGTTATCTTAAACTCGGAGGAAAACTAATTTTCGCCAAATTGCCATATTTCACATTTATTTTCTCTGTTGCTCAGAGTAAACAGACATGTGTTGGGAACCACGATTTTATCCTTGAAAACATCTAAACCTAATTTAGATAAAGATGCACGGAGATTGTACTCACTACCTAAATCCATGCTTTTTGATTTTCGTGTTTTAACGAAATCCAATTGACTGGCATCTGAAAATTGCTTTGTGCGTTTTTCAGACATACTCTGGCGTCCAAATCCTTCTCGTTGAAAAGCCAGCACTGGATCAACATCTGGACTCAGAGAGCTGGTGCAAAAGACAAAGAGAAACACAACATTAACTGAGAACGGAACACGGCCATCGACAGTGTCCACTCACACCTTCGTCCTGTGCACACACGAGGGTGTGTGCGCTCACACGTGCTGCTGAAGGCCACGTCACCAAGAGTGGCCCCCATGTCATGCTTCTCTCCTCCGCTCCCCTCTCTTGAATTCTTGAGTATATTTATTTCACAAGACATCATCAATTCTACATGATTAATAAGAAAGGAGCCTGACATTTTTCTAGACATTGGATCAACAGGAGATTTAGAAAAATACTAGGTAAAATGTCATAGGCATGACACATTAGGTACAGGTACAAGGGACAAACAAGTTACCAAAAAAACCAATTGCAAGTTTGAAAAGCGAGGCGTTCTAACCCTTTTGTATTGCCTTTATCTCAGGTTTCCGAAAAAGGAAATACAAAAAAAAAAAAAAAATCACACAAAAACAGCATAAGGCTGAAGTTTCTCTACAATGTCTGTCTACTTCAAGAAAAAATCATTTTACCAAAGCTCACTCTGATGACGCAGCTGCTGGTTTCGACCTGGGAACCCAAGACCAAACAATGCCCCCCAAAGCACCCCCTAACTTCCCTGACTCAGAAAACAAGAGAGCAGAAGAAGAGACAGAAGCTGGGGATGCAAGATGAGAAGGAGCCAGGGGCAGTGTGACTAAGTGAGGCGACATTTGATGGGGTGACAACACCATGGTGACTTAAGCTCAGGCGACAGGAAGCATATGGGCGCTGGCTCATGGCACAGCCTGTTCTGCATAGCTCTCCAGGGAAGTGGCGGGAGATGGCAGCACACAATCACTCCTGGTTGTGGAAATCTGTGAGAGCTGTGCCAAGCAGGGCACTGTGCACACTGTGATGATGGCTTCCTCCATGTTGGGCACATAATGTGGACGCACAGAGCGGCCCTGGTTGGCAGGTGCTGAACCGTTTCAGCCTTACCCACCGTACTAGGCAAGGAGTCCCCTCAGACCATACCACAACCCTTGGTGATTGGCTGTGGCCAGCAGAAAAATTATCACGCACACAGGTGAGAGGACAGAGCCTGAGCTTAGATACGCATCCCCAAAATGCCACAGGCATCAACATGGATGCTGGCTAGTTCCAAGCTGTAAATCCAGGAGTAACGAAAAGGAGGGTTCTTAGGCAAGAGTCCGAACTGTTGCCAGCACAGGGTGTCTCAACAGCCCCCAAGAAAAAAGGACAAATGCCTCACCCACCACCCCAGGCTAACGGAACAAGACATGCACACATTGTGGAAGACCCTGAAAACCCTAGACCACGGAGCACAGTGAATCACCACTCTGCAGAGCAGCTCCAATGATCACAGCAATACCAATTGCAAAGATGAAAACCCACAGCCCTTTTAAAACTCCCAGAGAAGCCCATCTTCCCCTTCTATTGGAGGACAGCGTAGCGAGGGCGGAGAGGCCTTGGCTCTTCACACAACGTTATTTTTCAAGGTTATGTACATGCAGGGTCAACATGCCACAGTGCTTCCTGAGCGTCATACTTGCCTCCTCTCCGACCTGGCTGAGGTATACAACAAAGATGCGAGAGCTGCCCAGGGCAAAGGGCTCTGTGCTTCCTATTTATATCCAATACAGTGATGCATCTTAATAAACCTTCAGTTTGCCCTTTGTGTAACTAAGAGAGGTGACATTTGATGGGGTGACAACACCATGGCAACTTAAGCTCCCGCAGCCAATTGACAAAGTTTCCTCTTGCTCATGGTCAAAAATTAAAAAGAAGGAAGAGAAAGAAAGTCGGTGCAAGGCCTGGCACAGCAGCCTAGTAGGTAAAGTCCTTGTCTTACATCCGCTGGGATTCCATATGGGCGCTGGTTTTAATCCTGGCTGCCCTACTTCCAATCTAGCTTCCTGCTTGTGGCCTGGGAAAGCAATGGAGATGGCCCAAAGCCGTGGAACCCTGTGCCCTCATGGGAGATCCAGAAGAAGCTCCTGGCTGCAGATAGGCTCAGCTCTGGCCTTTGAGGCCACTTGGGGAGTGAACCAGATCTTCCTCTCTGTCTCGCTTCCTCTCTGTATATCTGACTTTCTAATAAAAAGTAATAAATAAATCCTAAAAGTTGGTGAAATTGACGTGACCTAAAAAACTACATTTGGCATATTTTTCACAATTAATTTTGTGGCATCTGAGATTATGCTACCTCTAAGGTTAGAACTTGCTGGTACAGAGTCCTTCATCCTAAGTAGAACTGTTAAGGCTTTCTATGTCTAGTAGGGGTTCGAGAAGGACTATTCTATTAGCTAACGGAAGGCAAGTTTAGGCATCTGTCACACTTGCCCTCCTACCACTACTCAGGGAACTGGAGCTACACACCACTGAAGATGTCAAATGAGCTTGTAAATTAGTTAAAAATAAGTAAATATTCCTAAATCACGACATAATTGATTCTTCTCTACCAATAAACCCATCAAACTAGCTTCAGACACAATAAACAGCACACGGCACACGAGGATATTTAATAAGTTAGACTGCGGGGTCAACAGCCACGCTTTAAAGAATGTAACCACATCCTGCCCAACCCCCCAGTGTTATTAACATTCCAGTTATTAATCCTGCCTTATTGCTCTTTTGTTTCCATAACATTTTCATGGCGGATTAGGGAGATCCCATCTGAGCGCATGGCGTCCACGCTAGGTTGTGACTTGGGACAGCTGCCGTTCCCCGTCTGCATAACCCTCCACTTGTCAGCTTGTCCCACAGTGACATCACACAGGTCCCCTTCGTTCTGGCAGGCTCATTCAGAGACATGAGCCATCCAGCCACACCACTAGATTCTGCATTTTTACCAACGCAGTTTTTATGAGGTGCCAATCAGACCTGCCACCATGGCTACTTCCAGCCACTCTTCTCACCCTGGAAGGCTCTGAGGCTCTTAACCCTAAGTTCCCATTTTGCCAGTGGCTGTGGCCCTAGCACACAGAGAGCAGCCACAATATCTGTGAATTTAAGATTTATCCTGCATAGACTTGATAGCGCCCCCTAGATGTGTAGCTAAGCAGCTGGCTGCATAACAGCTTCCAATCTCTTGGGCACAAGGGTCACAGCTCTCTCAGTGTTTGCAACAAAGAGAGAGAGAGAGAATCAAAAATCCAGAGGTGAACTTTCCAAGGGCCTGACCATCTGATGAGATCACTGAGTAAAGCCAGTGTAGACTAAACCTGGCCAGAATGCACTAGGGGCTCACTACGTTACAAACACAAAATAAATGCTGCCATGCCCCACCCTCCCCAATACAGACATCTGCTCTCTCACAAGGAATGCTAAGGAATGTTAAGTGAGGTCACTAGAAGAGCCAGAAGCAGAAAGGAGAAGTAGTGAAGAAATAATATATACACCTGCCAGAGAAGCCATAAAAGAAAACAGAGAAAGAGCAGCAAGGAATCCTAGTGAAACCCCACATACAGTGCATCATCAACAGAGGGTCACCACCACCCACACTAGTTGAACTAAAATGATGAAGCATGCTCATCAGACACACACTGGCTCAAGGAGATCCAATGTGTCTTCAATGCTGACGGACACAGAAGGCAATGGACAAGCAATGTGGTGCAGCCAGTTAAGCTGCATCTGCAACGCTGGCATCCCGTATGGACACTGGTTCAAATCCTGGATGTTCCACTTCTGCTCCAGCTCCTTTCCAGTGTATCTGGGAAAGAGCAGAAGAGGGACCAAGTACCCAGGTTCCTGCACGCACATGGAACACCTGGCAGAAGATTCTGGCTCCGAGCTTCAGCCTGGTAGTCATTCTGGAGAAGTGGCCCAGTGGTGGGAAGCTCTCTCTCTTTCTCTAACTGTGCCTTTCAAACAAATAAAGCCAGCATCCCACACTGCCATGTCAGGAGCAAGCCTAGAACATTTCTTTTTTGTTTTTAAAGATTTATTTATTTTTATTGCAAAGTCAGATATACAGAGAGGAAGAAAGAGAGATCTTCTGTCTGATGATTCACACCCCAAGTGACCGCAATGACTGGTACTGCTCCAATCCAAAGCCAGGAGCCAGGAACTTCTTCCAGGTCTCCCACACAGGTGTAGAGTCCCAAGGCTTTGGGCCGTCCTCGACTGCTTTCCCAGGCCACAAGCTGCCAGGATTAGAATCAACGCCCATATGGGATCCCACAGCATTTAAAACGAGAACTTTATCCACTAGGCCACTGTGTCAGACCCACAAAGAACATTTTGTTTTCCTTTTTTTTTTTTCTAATAATAGATTGAATTTTTGATGATGTTTACATAGCTGAGAAGAAGGCACGCCTATGTAAATCACCAATTAGGATAGGAAAGGTCAAGGAATAGGAGAAAGTAGATGAGATACCCGCTTCTAATCTTCCTTTCTATTCTTCCTGTTTAGCACAGAACATTTTCAAGCCATGGTAAGAGCATGCATGCCAAGAGACTACGCGAAAGTGTCCCCTCCCATGGTCAAAAACCAGCAGCTCTGAGTTCTGCCTGAGGCCACTGAATTGTTACTAACCTTCCCATGGCCTGATGAGTCTCTATATGGAATAGGGAAAAAAAATTTTTTTCATTCTCACTAACGCGTAATAAATCGAGCAAATGAATACAGTATTTGGGCAGTGAAAGATCTGTATTGATGTTTTGGCAAAATTCCCAAGTAGGACACAGGAAAAGATGAGGGAACCTGAGCAGGGTCCAGGGTTGGGGCTCAACCTTGAGAATAGCATGACAAGCAAGGGGTACACAGGAGCATGGCTGGGTCCATAATCAACACTGGCTAGGTCAGCACCACCCACGCTGTACCAATGCATCCCAACCCAGGACGCACGGCTCACCAGTCGGCCGAATCGCTGATGTTGGCTTGGGCCCAAGGGGCCACTTCTGCGGTGGTGAAGCCCACATCGTCGTGGGAGCTGGACGAGGACTGGTCGGAGAGGCGTGGTGGGAGCACGGGGAGCCTGTCATCTTCAATGAGGACGCTGTCATCGTGGGGCATGTTCACGGTTGGGGAGAGCTGGTATTTACCTGCCCGGGGAAGAAAACACAGAGGATGCAGATGTTGGTTACCTTACCAACAACCTGAACCTTCACATACCTGGACCATCTGGCAAAATGCATCAGAACTGAACCTGCAAAATATAATTATTTTGGTGACCACCAAGTGGGCATAGCACAGTAAATTTCTGCTTGTGGCACTGACATCCCATATGCATACTAGTTCAAGTCTGGGTTGTTCCATTTCCAATCCTGCTCCCTGCTAACGCACATGGAAAAGCAATGGAGAATGGCCCAAATGCTTGGGCTCCTGGCATTAAACCAGCCGGCTCAGACTGTTGTGTTAATCTGGAGAGTAAAGTAGTGGGTGGAAGATTCTCTCTCTCTCTAGCTCTGCCTTTCAAGTGAACATCATTTAAAAAATTTTTTTAATTTATTTTTATCCAAAGGCAGATATACAGAGAGGAGGAGATATAAAGAGAATCTTCCATCTGCTGATTCACTCCCCAAGTGGCCACAGTGGCTGGAGCTGATCCGATCCGAAGCCAGGAGCCTCTTCTGGGTCTCCCACGCGGGTGAAGGGTCCCAAGCTTTGGGCCATCTTCCACTGTTTTCCCAGGCCACAAGCAGGGAACTGGATGGGAAGTGGGGCAGCCGGGACATGAACCAGCATCCATACAGGATCCCGGGACATGCTAGGTGAGGAATTCAGCCACTAGGCTACTGTGCCACCCTCCAGTGAACATCATTAAAAATAATAATAAATTAAAAAGCTCTTTGAATTGATTGTTTCTATATTTGAATAGCAGAGTTTCCTTTCTTTGTTCAGCTATCAACAGATGCCCACCAGACTGCCTGGGCTGCACTGAAGCTATGAGTCTAGAACCGGTGGCAGCGACTGACATCCTCAACCCATCATCTCTGCTTCCCAGGCACATGTCAGTGGGAAGCCACAGTCAGGAGCAAGGCAGGAGCTGGAAGCCAGGGACTCTCAGACGGTTCTCCTGAGTGCCCACTTGGCCACCATATTTAGTAGCTTTATTCTGCAAGAACTATTCCTCCACAGTCATGAGTCTCTCACGACCTGCGATGCCGCTTACACAGGCCAGGACAGTCCATGGAGCACCTTCCCTGGCTTTATGTATCCGAGAACCAGATCTGCACCCCAGCTGCTCATGCAAGACAACGCCAGAGATGCCAAGTTGTGTCAGCGCTTCGGAAAAACCTCACCAGGGAGTGCAGGGGAGGGGTGCACATGTGAGCCCTTCATCCACAAGTTCACCAGGCAACCAGGTGCAGAAGTTATAACTGCTGCCTGCCAGGAAGGCAACAGACTGGTAAGACAGGGTGTGGCGACTGGCTCTCTCCCTGGAGCTCATCACTGCCTGGGAGCAGGAGCAGCTAGGACCTTCACAAATATGAACATCGGAGTGGGGCTCTCAGTAACCAATGCGATGAAGGGACACATGCTGACTTCCCACGCCAACCCTGCACTAAGCGCATGACAGACACGAGAGTCCACGGCATTCGGAGAGGAATCTGCCAAGAGCCAAGATCTGGGCAGAAGTGTGACAGCCCTGAGTTCTCAGGCCATGGCCTGGGAACCTGTAGCTTCTGAGTCTTCAAGGTAGGACCCTGCTGTCTTGACAGGGAGAGACGAGTCACAAATGTCTGTACCAGTAAGTGTCCTGGTAAAAAAATATCTGCTCAGGTTCCCAGATTAGCATCACAGTCATGTTTGTACGCTTGACTCCTTTGAGAATACCGCCGAGGGTCCAACTATTGTCATCTCTTCCCTGAAGGTCAAGTACAGTTCTGCTCCATCCCTTCCCATATCCTGCACCAGCCTTGCCCTCAGCAAGGCAGCACCAACAGAGCTTTGGTCCTCAGGGCTGCTGGGAAAGTCTGGGCTCAGAGCACACATGCAGCCAGGGAGAGAAGGGCCTGTTGGGCTGGCTCCCCACAAGTCCAGCAGTGTCCACTTCTTCCCTGTGCACCTGATGGGGAAGGCGAAAAACTCAAGCCCAATTTCCACACCCACCAACCCAGTCAGCTCTACAATGCCCATTGACCTCTCAGACTACTGCCTCACATTTCGAGACAACAGAACTAAGAGAAGTTTATTGCTGTCCAAAATAAACATATAAAATTCCCATATAACTTTCTGCATAATACAGATTTTCCACTAACTTTAGGACGACGCCTGTTATGCATGAGCTGTATTTGTGGCGTATTTGCCAAGAAAATGGTGTTGTGATCTGGTTCCAGGAACATACCTAACTAAGGAATGACTACATGGCTTGACCATGTATTCTAACTGACACACTTGTGCAATATCTTTAAGGTGCCTGTGACACTGGGCACAGCATAAATTCAAAGTCTCCAAGAGTGACCTGAGCAGGCTTCAGGGTGTCTTTGTCTACAGAAAACGTTCTCCCAATTGTTCAGCCTACTGCAGGTGTGGGGGAAGGAAGCCGGGAGATACAAGGATTGCCTCCTGAATATGTTTTCACTGGGGAATTGACACAGAATCAACCCCAGGCTTGACACCAGCAACCAAAGGAATTGAGACCAGCTGGACCACCCACGTGACTCAGCCTAACACACAAAGCAACACTGCGTTTCTCCACAACAAGTCCTTAACAATACGAGACACCTGCCACACATGCACGGCTATATGATCTACTGAGATCAATTCCGGATGACTACCATGGATCCCAGTGTGGCTTTCATTCTGCAGAAAGTCTGGGAAAACCAGGAAGCTTCTTAGACGCTTAATGAAGGCAGCCTGTTGGTGAGGAATTTTCTTCATTTACAATAGCTCTTCTTGCAATCAAGATAACATGGCAACCAGAAAACACAAGGGAGGCGGCCAAGGTAATTTCCCCCACAACACGCTTTCTGACGGGTGGCCAACAAAGCCCAAAGCCCAAAATTCAGTCCAAACGGATGATACTGGGTGAACTCTGGCCGTGGGTCATGACTGCTGCTGACACCCCCACTAAAAGCCATGGGGATGGGTCAGGTCTGAGTAATGTCGGAATCAGAACAGAGAAAGGCCATGTCCATTATGGGTTCATGAGCTCAGGTGCATCTACCTTCAGGGCCCTACTTTTCTGGGCTGGAGTAGCAGACAACTAAGGCTGCTTGCAAAGACTGAGCCCTCTGACTTTACATCACAGGAGCCATGAGCCCTGGAGGAGACTGAAGTCTTCAAATGCATAGAAACACACGCTGCTAATCCACAAGAATGAAGGGTCAGGAACTGTCACTGTGGCACCTCAGCATTCCCCAGAGACAGCTGCTTTCAGAAACTGCAAATGGCAAAAGCAAGAAGCCAAACTCCGTTCTTGGCCAACGGTACCACACTTCTCTATGGGGTAAGCGAGATGGTGCCGTGGACAACAGCTGATGTGCTTCCCCCTGCAGAGCTAGCTTCCTCTGGGGCAACTTCTTCCAGAATGCTCTCTCTCCTGGGATGCGTTCCCACAGAAACGGCTCACGAGGCCTGGACACCTCCTCAGGTCCAGAGTCCCAGGCAGAGAGAACACTATGCGAAAATTCTCTTTGTATCTTGCCAGAGAGCCAGCTGAGATTTCAACCAGAGGTTCTAGGGTGTCACAGCAGATCAGGAAGGGATTGCCAACATCCAGAGAGAATCTGCCCCTACAGAGACAACCAAGAACCTAGGCACCTGCCCAGAAAGCAAAGTGACCCACTGTTGCTACCGGCTCAGATGACGGGAAACGCAACACTGTACTAACATTGGAAGCTCCCTTGCAAGCGAGCATCATCTACAAAAGATGTCCAATTTTCAACATCAGCTAGTGTCACCAACACCGACAGGATCAGGAGGCGAACAGAGAATCCTGTCTTGTTCCCACCAAGTCCAACTAGAAAGTTTCTGACAGGAAGACTTGGGTTTGTACTTTTTTTAAAAGTTATTCTTGGATCCACTAGATGGGAAGATATGCATCTTGCCCACAACAGGATTTCCAGACACCCTCAGAAGGAGACACTGTCTTGCTCCCATGACATTCCATGGAGAGGTGCAGCTTGGGGGTTCACTTCAAACTGGATCCTCGGAAAATCCATGCCTAAAAATGTCAGTGCTTTTCTCATCAGAACAGCTTCTCTGGTCTTTAGCATGGAAACTCTCAAGCTAACCCTGAGTTAAGCAACGTGGTAAAGCCCACCACTCCGGCACCAAAGCAGGTCTTCATTAACCAGCCTGTAGAGTAGGAGCAAAGCTGAGGTACACAGTTCCCTGCCGCCACCAGGAGACACCCTGGGGACCATTCTGAGGGGCTGGTAGGGATCGCAGGGGCCAGTAGAGTCCGATCTGGGACCTGGAAGTCTTGAGGCCTTCACATGAAGGCATTGGGACAGGAAGACAAAATGAAAGGAAAGTGGCAGCCTAACAGGGACACGGCAAATGAGTGTGACACGTTCATGAACATGTGTGTTCTGCTCCACCAAGCGCCAGATGAATGATTCCAGCAGGTAACTCCCAATCCCTTCTTGTCATTAAACCACCAGAAACACAGCTGTACCTGTGAGCCTAACCAGTCACAAAGCTCCCGATGCCTGCACGCACTTCACCCATCAATGGATGGAGGGGCTCTCCCCACACAGGCCTGACTGAGCTAGAGCACTCTGTGTTCCTCTGGAAAAGGCACACGCCCCTCTGTGTTTGTTTCATGTGAATAGCCTCTTTGCAAGGCTCAGAGAAGGTGAGGTAGCGGGACTGACTCACCCATGATCCGAGGAAGAGCCGGGTTCCTCGTGGGCGATTCGTCCAGGTCCTCAATGCCACTGTACAGCGAGTGGGAAATTCGTCGTTCGCTGTCATCCAGCGCCGTTTCAATGGGCAATTCTGGTCCAGCAGGGCTTCCGGGTGACTTGAGCTACATAGAAAGGAGAAGGCGAGAGAAAATCAGGGCTGGCAGGCGGCTGGTATCAAGGGGTAACAGAAACAACCAGCTGGAAATCTACCCGAGTGGCAACCAAACTAGGAGTTTTACCCCACACCAAGATAACCTGCGACAGCTCTGCATACTCCACATGGCGGCCTCCACAGGAGAGGAAAGGTGCATGGTAAAGGCTTTCCAACCAAAAATCCAGGGAAGGCACTGGGATGTAGCAAGCTAAGCATCCATTTGTGGTGCAAACATTCCATATAGGCTCCAGTTCAATTCATGGCTGCTTCGTTTCTGACCCTGCACCCTGCTAAAGCAGCCAAAGATGGCCCAAGTACATAGGCCCCTGCACCCATGTGGGAAATCTGCAAGAAGCTCTGGTCTCCTAGCTTCAGATCAGCCCAGCTCTGGTTATTGCAGCTCTATGGGGAGCAAACCAGCAGATGGAAGATCTCCCATTCTGTTTGTCCTTCTCCCTTGGTAACTCTGATATTCATATAAAGAAATCTTCTCTTGTTGCTCTTCTGTCATTGTGACCACTAGATCTGCAGCAGCCAATGGGAGCTCGTGTTTCTCCTCAGAGAGCCACAATGGATGCAGCCCAATAGGAGGCTCACTCCACTGGGACAGAAGCTGAAGTGCAGCTCAGCAGTCTGCTGGGAGACATGAAGAGAATTCACAAACCCTTGTACATGAGGTCTACACACTGTAGACCTCACTGCTCACTAGGTGCCGTCAACACACCCTATCCCAATTTCTTCTGCGAGACATTAAGGAGAAGCGTGATGCCTTGCCACTGTCCAGGACAGTGTGTAACCGGCCATATCCATAAGCAGTGCACATGGCAACGCATAAACAGGGGCCCCAAGTCCTCAAACAGCACACAGGGGCCTTTCTGTGACTGGAAACTAAACAATGATGCACCTGCTAACCGCAGCTGTGTCTTACAAGCCATCCTGTCCATGGAGTACGAAATACATGCTGGGACGGCCCTGATAACAGTCCACTTCAGGGGAGCCACCATCCTCATTGCACGGGCTCCACGGGGTACCACATGGCTTTGACCTGCTCAGGGATGCCCTGGTGGCAGACAGGGCCCTGGGAGGGCAGGAGCTGGCAGGGCACGGCAGGGCGCGAGGCGAAGCCTGAAGAAATGGTTATTTCTGTTTGGAGCAATCATACAAATGAGCAAGTTAATGAAGTTCTGCAGGCAGACTTATGGCTCCCAGTTTGATAAGCACTGGGAGCCGGGAGGCACAGAGGGTCAACACAATTACAACTGGAGGCGTGCGGCACTGCGGGAGGGCGATAAACTCCAGCGCCTGTGAATGAGGCTCAATAAGCTTTACTCTGCGAAATGAGGATTTATCGGATCGGCTATTTTTTTTTTAATTGCAGTCTACAACTGACAGCTTTACCGAAAAGGAAATTAAATATTCAGGGTCTCTGACATAAAGACAGAAAAAAATACCTCTGTCATTGTTTTAAAGAACTGGGTACCTAACTTTTAGGATGCTCTGGCAGGGCCAGACCAAAGTTCAGAAATACTGAAACTAAGTACCTAACGCATAGGGAAGACTTTTTTTGTTAAAGGAGGGAACACATTCTTAGCAGAGAAGTGTCTACAAGCAATTCCTGTCAGTGACATAATAATTCATTTTATCTGAAGGTCACCTATTCCCAAGATTACTTTAAAATATAATTCATTGACCTATGTAATTCTGCCATTTTCCAATGGATACATATCCTTCATGAGAAAAGTCTCGACATACCAACAGACCATTCTAAAAATTTTTTACAATGTTAAATAAAAATCCTCTTTAGAATAGAGTGGGAACAGAGCTCTCTGCAGAGACAATGAGTCCTCTTCAGAAAAATCCTGGGGTGCCAAAGTGATCCTGGGAACTGCTTTTGTCTTTCCCCACCCCAAGCCAAGAACCACAGTGCATTTGCATCTGAAAAGGCAGACTTAAAATGAAGACATTAATAGTCAAAGACATAAATATTTAATAGAAGATACAATGCCTTTTAATTTCTTTGGTTTTTTTTCAAGGTTTTGTTTTAAATCTGATGTTTTTTTACCACTTACCTCTTGAGGAGAAAAAAAAAAAAAGAATCAGTGAGATAGAGAAGTAAGACAGTGCCCCAGACAGAGAGAGGCAGCAGAGCCAGGGCTCCCACTGGCAGGCTCCTTACAAGAAAATCAGAACATAACTCAGCATACATGGGAGAACCCAAGAATCACAAAGGCAATTTTCTTATTGCTGTCAGCCTGATGTGTGCGTCACTAGAAGCTTTCTGCAGGCCCCACTTGATTCTGGAGGCCGTGACTGTAGGGTCCTTCAAACTACCAAACCATCAATTAGCTGCAAAGACCGCCCCTAGTTATCCCAGTATTAATACAGGTAGTGCAAACCTTGGCCCAAACTACCTACAAAAGTCTATCACTGGACAAAAGGAGTTCTCTCAATTTGACTCTTTATTCAAACATTTACTTCGCTCTTGGGTCATTTCTTCCCAGAAAATAATACAAGCAAAAGGAGAAACAAAGATTCTCATGAATTAGTATCTTATTACTTACAATGGCATACAAAATGCAAGCTACCTGAAGAGTGCGAAACTACAGAATTCCTTTACAGACATTCAAGTGATCCTGTCAAGCATCTAGAGCGAGAAAATAACCAAAAATTCTAATAACAAGTTTGATATCGTCTAATGAGCAGGCTTATAATTACAGATTTGAAGGAATCTTAGACAAAGCTAAAATATTGACCTTTCTTTTTCCTTAATCTCATACTGGGGCCAGGAAGGTGGCTGAACAGGTTAAGTGGCCTGTGACACAGGCATCCAGGATGGGCTCTGGTTCGAACCACGGCTGCTCTACTGCCCCAGCGTCCTGATAATGGCCTAGGAAAGTAGCAGAAGATGGTCCAAGTACATGAGGCCCCTGCACTCAGGTGGGAGACCTAGACAAAGCTCCTATCTCGGAGCTTTGACCTGGCCCAATGCTGCCTGTATGGCCATGTGGAGAGCATGCCCGCAGGTGGAAGTTTCCCTCACGGTCTTTTCCTCTTTCCCTCCCTCCTTGTGGCTTTTTGGGGAAGGAAAAGTTCCCCCCCACAATGTCACTGAGTGTACCACGAATGGCATGGTGTGTTCCATCAGGAATGTCCCCCAAGCCCCTCTATCTAGATACTCAGGAGCGGCGGGGGCAGCAACCGCCTGCATCTTATCTGACATCTTAGATTCACAGCATGTTGCATCCCATCCCCAACACCACGCAAGGGGCAGACAAGGCTGAATAAAGCCATGGCCCAGTTCACTGCTTAGACACGAAGATGGCTGAGGGGTCGGAGGCACACGGTGTGCAGCTGTGCAGGTCACTGGACATGAAAGGTCTTTAGGGCTCACATTCAGTTCTGTAATACTTCAGGACTCACTCCCTGAGTCACTGTCGCGCGCACGCGCACACACACACACACACACACTCAAGGAGTTCCAAGACCTGTGTGTTCAGACTCTGGCCTGAAGAGAGAAAAAAAGCCTTCCCACTCAACCAGATCCACAGGACTAGGACGCCCCATCTTTCACCCATTAAGCAAATGATTTGACCTGTGTGCTTTTGTTGCTTAATGCTCTGAATGAGTGCCCTGAAAGCTACCTGAGGCCCCCGGCCTATTCTAAGGCAGCTTTCCAACTTTAAGAGGATTAAGCCAGAGAAAGAATTCACTTTCAGACAGTCCCAGGGGACTCAATCCCTTCACAGGAGGTCTGAGACAAAAGCTCACCTGAGAATGCTCTCCCGTGGTGTTGAAACCAGCTTCAAAGGAAGTGGGAGCTGTGTTACATCTCAGCCATCCCATTAATTCCCCCCAAAGGCTTAACACCATTCTCCAGCAAAGGCCACGGTGGATGCTGAGACAATCTTCAGTGAACAAGAGGAAGCCTTCTTGGTAGACAAACAAAGAAGGGACGGAGTTTGGCCCAGCAGTTAAGATGCCAGTTCAAAAGTTCGCATCTCCCTACGGTGGTGCTTTCTGATCCCTCTTCCTACTGACAGACGTCCAGGGAGGCACAGCAGGTGAAGGCTCAGGTATCTGTGTTGCTGCCACCCATGGGGGACACTGAGGAAATCCCAGCTCCTGACCAGGGTCTGGCCCAGCCCTGGCTGTTGTGGGCACTGAGCAAGTGAACCAGAAAATGGAGGCTTCTTTCAAGGAGTCCAGGGAACAACCTGCTGTGAATTGCTTTTAAATGCAATGAAGCACAGCCCCAGCTCTATGCAAGATGGCAGGCCAGAAAAATCTGGAAACTCTGCCCAGTTGTCCCCGTACCTAAGGGCTTTCCATTCTAACAGGTGCACTAACACTCGGTTTCTTAATTGAATGCCAGGTCCTGAAGGGCTGCTGCCCTCACCTCACAGGGCACATGGATTCTAGATCCTGAGGATGGACAAGCACATGGCAATCTCAGAACATCTGATCCAAACAGGATCAGTGGCACACCTGACAGGGGAATGAAGCAGAAAGGCTCCTCACACACAGAGGCACTGGTAGAGTAAGGGTGCACAGATGCCATGCCAGGCTGGCCTTATGGCCAAGGGCACAGAGAGAGGGCCTGCCAGTACTTCACCGGGGGGATAAAACAGGAAGCTTGCTTAGGAACATGGAGCCCCCCCCGGTACGTCATTCTATCCACTTGTCCATCAAGGCACCCTTTGCTGGATCTATCTCCTTCATCTAGGACCTGGGGTGTGGGGCATGCTCTACTAGTACTCATCCACTCCTTTTTGTGTTCACTTGCTCATCTTTTAAATAAATGGCATCACTTATGCACCACACATACACCTGTACTTAGAACGCTTCTCTAATGACAGGTGCTGATTCAAGTCCTAAACACTCCACTTCAACCCAGCTCCCTGCTAATGCACCTAGGAAAACAGCAGAGAATGGACCAAGTGTTTGGGAACTTGCACCTATGTTGGAGACATGAACAAAGCTCCTAGTTTCAGCCTAGCACAGCCCCTACCACTGTGGCCATTTGGGGAGTGGAATAGATTCTCCCCTCTCTTTCCAACTGCCTTACAAATAAATAAATCTTAAAACAAAACATGCTTTTCTATAAAGAAGGCATGGATCTGCAATAAAAATCAGATCTCACTTTCCCTACTTCACCACAACCAACTTGTTGTGCAGACAAAGCAACGAAGAGAAAGCCTCAGGGAACCACAGCCAGGCCCTGCTACGCTGCTGGGGGAGGGAACCAACAGGACTGTGAGGATGGAGAGGGGTTGGGTGGCATAGAGGACTGTCCCACAGAAGTGACTGAAGGACGGGTGAAGACTGACCCAGGAGTGCTGCTGCCCATAGCAGAGGGAGTGAACAGTGGGCTTCTGGAAGTGATATCTAGGCTACAGGCCTGCAGGGACCCGGAGCCCATGCTTTGCTCTGAGCAGGATGTAAGACTGTGCTCTACCTCATCTATACTGCATGCTGCTGGGGATGTGGGCTGGGGATGGGGGATCTGTCTCCAACACCCTCAAGGATATAAAACCCTGAGAACGATCAAGTCACTGGGGTAAAGGGACAGGGTCTTGCCATGCACCATGCCCGTGCTCTGCCTCTTTCTCACATCCACTCTGTGTAAACACACCACTGCCCATGGAATAAGGCATGGACATACTACAGGACAGGAGCGTGGGCTGGCTGCTATCTCCCTCTGGGTTTGGGTGCTACTGCAGATGAGGGACGCATGGAGCCCCTAGGGGCAGGGGTTCACAAACATGGGTGCTGAGCGGAGTACAAATCATTTTACTTTTGCTGCAACACATCGCATTGAAATCCACCCATACTTTTTTCCCAATAGGTACTCCCCTGGGAAATTGGTGAAGACTCCTGCAACCAGGGTCAATTGATGGCTAAGGATTGAACTTGGCCTGGGGAACAGGTACAGTGAAGAAAGCCACATCCCAGGAGAGCCTTGAGATGCCCTGAAAAGGGAAGAATTTTGATCGGCTCATGCCACCTGAGTGGAAAGGAAACTGGGCGAGAACCAGCTTCCAGGAGCATCTAGAACGCAGTAGGGGGAAAATGAGCCCAGTATGGGTCTTCCAGACAGGAACTGGAGAGAGCTGGCCAGTAATGTGGAAGGAAACGGGAGGAGAAAGAATTCAGTGGTGAAACACAAAAGATTTTTGTCAGCTCACAGCTTCTGAAGTCTGCCACACCCATGGTCAAAATGAGAGCACATGGCACATGTACAGTGGTTAAACCATCACCCAGGACACCTACTCTACTTCTGATCCAGCTCCCTGTTAAGGCACACACATGCAGAGGCAAGAGAAGACAGCCACGGGCCCCTTGCCACTTGCAGGGAAGACCCAGATGGCGATTTTCAGTTCCTTGCTTCACCCTAGGCCAGCCATGAATATTAGACAGTGTGATAGAAAACACATCTTTCTCTCTCATGCTCCCTCTCAGTGCATCATCTGCCCAAGAAGGTACAGAGAATAGTATGTGACTGTGGCCCAAGGTCCCCCTCACGCAGCAGGACACTCGTGTTGATAGCAACATCCGCTGTAACGCAATTTACACTCTCCTCAAGTCCCAGGAGCAGCCTTTTCCAAAAGCAATATATGCAGTAACAACAACGGCAGCAGAAACATGTCCCACGCCTTGCGGGAACCTGAAATGAGCTCGTCTGTCTTCGCAAGATTGCTGGGTTCAGTCCTGTCAGGGCAAGCAGTTTCTCACTGCGGCACAGGGATGGTATGGCACGCACGCTGAAGGCTTTGGATACACTTGCACAATCAGCTCACCCTGGCCTAAGAAATCGCAATAAGCAGCACCGTATGCAAACAACACCAGGAGGAATACAGAATATTAAAGTCTACTGCTGTCGACGGCAGCTGTTCTCGCACCAAAGCCATTTCCATGGGCAGAGCTGACCCAAGTTGCTCTGGGGGCCCCAATTGCTAGTGTGTTACTGGGCAAAGAGGAGCAACATCAGGCCTTTGGGCAAAATATTGTAAGGCCAGCACTGTTTTTGCTTGCTTACTGTTTAGGGGCCAGTAGGGAACGATGAGACGATGGAAGCTCAATGCCGATTCCCCAGTTTATTTTGGGTAGCGTCAGAGGCTGGTCCAAGGGTTCCTGCCATCCATGTCAGAGCCCCCAAGGCAGTTCTGGTCTCTTGTCTTCAGTCTGGCCCAATCTGTTATTGTTGCCATTTGGGGAGCAAAGCAGGAGATAGAAACTTCTCTCTCTCTCTCCTTCCAAAACATAAATCTTTTGTAAAAACAACAATCAAAATTAGGGCCTGGTGTAGTAATCTAGTGGCTAAAATCCTTGCCTTGCGCACAACGGGTCCCATATGGGCACCGGTTCTGATCCCGGCAACCTGCTTCCCATCCAGTTGCCTGCTTGTGGTCTGGGAAAACAATCAAAATTGGAGAAGAACCTCAGAAGATGACATGTTGCCACATGGGAGCTACCCCGCACGAAGGCAGCGCCCCAGCCACGCAGCCAGTAGCCCACGACATCTCCTGATATGCAGTAGAGGCCCCACACACCACCGTCAAAGGAAGACCGCCACGGAAGCTTTGAGACGCTTCAGGCAGCCCACAGTGCGAAATGGTGGTCTATAAAGTTACTCTGAAGGATTATAGCTTCCTTATTTATATTAATTCCTAGAAAGGAATGTTCTCTCACACTTCCTTTCCCATTACGAGACTCTTGTTGCAGGTTACTTGTTCTCTGGTTGCTATGGAAATTGATTGGCTCCTTACAATGAGCTCCTTCTACCTCTGGCAGAAAAAGCAACACTAAAATCAATGGGTAGTATCTTTTCAGACTGGCTAACTCCATCCTGATAACAGGCTGCAATCAAAAGTGTGTGTGAGAGAGAGTGTGAGAGACAGAAGAGAGATTGTTTTACAGGTAAGTCACTCCTGAAAAGCTTGGATTATATTTTTATTAAACAGATTTTAGAGCGAGTAAAACAACTCTACATTCAACATTCAATCATACCAACTTTCTGGCAACTTGACCTTACTTGATTTTAAAAGGCCGGACTGCTGTACACGCTGAAGACAAAGCTAGACTTTCGTACGTTGATGAGGTCACATCTGACCATTCATAGGTCCAGCCTGTTTTATATCCGTGGAACATGGCTCACCAGATTGATGTGACCTTTCCCAGATTCTAACAGTAGTTACAACATCAATGCCTAATCTATTTTAATTTGGAAATATTCCAGGAGGAAAGGATTGCAGGGTGGGGCAGGGTGGCTGCAGACGGAATCTGGGGGGCAGACATTACGTAGCCCTGCACATTAAGCAGCTGCTTGGGATGCCCACATCGTCCATCATGGAGCCTGGGATCCAGTCCCAGCTGCACTTCTGATCCAGCTTCCCACTGATGTGACACTGGGAGTCAGCAGGTGGTAGCTTGTGGTTGAGTCTCTGCCACCCACGTTAGTACACCTGGATCAAGTTCTAGGCTCCTGGCTTCCACTTGGTCCAGGCTTATCTGTATAGGGCCTTTGGGAGGTGAGCGGATGAAGAAAAGATCCTTCTCCCCCTCTCTGTATGTATATATGTATCTGTTTCTTTCTCTACTACTCTTTCAAAGTACAAAACTGAACTTTAATTAAGCCCCAGGGTCATAAGGGCTCCAGTTCTCATGACTCCTCCTTTCAATCCAGCTCCCCGTTTATGTGCCAGGGAAAGCAGCAGGAGATGGCCCAAGGCCTTGGGCTCCTCCATCCACATGGAAGAGTGGTAAGAAGCCCCTGGTTTCAGAAGGACACAGCTCCGGCCATTGCCACCACTTGGGGAATGAGCAATGGATGAAGATCTCTCCCTCCCTCTACTACTCAACCTTTCAAGTATTTTTCTTTTCCTTTTTTTAAGCACTCATTTGTACAAACAGAGCAAATGAATGGTGCTTCCGGCTCCCTCCTGACTCCCTCTCCTGGAAGTGGACACCCTACAGCAGGGAACCAGAGGTGCCCCTTAGAGGAGGTAGCACTCACCTCGCCACACTTGCTGACACGTCTGGCCACGATGAGCTGGATCATGCCCCGCTTGTTGCCCTCGGTGGACATGGACCTCCTGAGTGCGTCCATGGCATCCTGGTTTGTCCTGCCCAATAGGGACTCCCCGTTCACGGCAATCAGCTGGTCATTCACCCGCAGCCGCCCGTCCTGGGAGGAGAACGTGGTGAAGTCGGGAGGGGGGCTCAGATCCTTGTGGTGGGAACACAAGAAGGTCTCCAAAGCCGCAGTGGCCAGGGTCCTGCTTGAATCATTCCCACGCTGTCAAATCAAGCCACTGTCATCATCTATGACTCAAAAGGGCATTCCAGTGCAGAGTGCACACAGGGCTCCTTTACGTCCATGCTTCCAGAGACTCACATGAGGATATTCACAGCCCCTGACAGGGCAAGCCCACAACTGCAGTGCAGAAACACACACACACACACTCACAAGCCAGGGACTGGGAGGCAAGCTCTCCCTGGAGACCAGCTGTTCCAAAGGACCCAGGCGGGGTCTCTGTAGTGAAGACCTTCCTCACCTTCCTCTTCCCTAATGTCACAGGGGCTCTCAGGCTCTGGGAGAGGAAGAGTCGGGTGAGGGGCTCTCTGACCAGCAGTCCAGCCCTGGGGATCAACACGGCTAGGAGAGGAGCTGACAATGCAGTTGTGACGTCTATAGTGAGCAGGAGAGTCAAAGATAAGGACCTCACTCAGGGTATCTGAAAGATACAACTATGTCCACTGCAACAGACTATTGTCTCCATGATTTAAACCTGCAGTGGCAGTTGGCTCTGCGGTGTTAGCAGATAAAGCCTGCAGCACCAGCATCCCATACAGGGGCCATGACAAGCCCCCATTGCTTCACTTCTGATCCAGTGTGGTGCCCAGGCTCCTGAACCCATGAGGGAAACCTGAATGGAGCTGCTGGCTCTTGGTTTTGGCTTGCCCCAGCTCCAACTGTTGTGACCATTTGTGGAGTGAACCAGCAGATGGAAGACCTGTGTGTGCGCGTGCAACTGTCATTCTAATTGATAGATCGATACATTGATCAATCCCAGGCTGGAGTGAAGGAAGAAGGAAAAGCAGTGGACTGAATGCCAGCTCCCAGCATGGGGGAGGGTTGGCGGGAGTCAAGTCACACTCCCTGAAGCAGCTGCCCGTGTACTTACTTTCGAGGCTGCCCCTCCGTTGATGATGGATTTGACGAAGATGCCCAGATCCGCGTGGTTCTCCTTGGAGCGGTTCCCCTTGACGCTGACACCCAGGCCCGCTGACCCCGAATCATTGAGTGGGACCTCAAAGGTCAGGAACTCCCTGGTGCCATCGGGGGTGAGCACAACATCTTCATCTTCAGCTTTCTGGCAGAGAACGAGAGGGCAGGATGCTTAATGCGCTGGCTGAACACTACCTGCTGTGATGGGCAGGTCACAACCCCCCGTACAACAGTATGAGTTTGTCTCCTTTAGCCACCGGAAAGGAAGACATGTCTGAGTTACCCAGGTTCTAACGACAGGAATCAAGGAGTCATTTGCTTCTGTAGTTGACAAGAACCAGGATGGCCACCATTGCTGGGAGCACTTATCTGGGTTGGGAAAACTCCATGCAGAACGTTAGCGGCTACCTTTGTGTAACCCCCAGACCACCTGGAGCCCACTGGCAGGCCTTGGCATCACCGACCAAGGGAAGGTCACCAACAATCCAGAAACTTGAACAACTAGCTGATCACGCACCCGTCAGACTCAATTTGAATCTGAAAGAACCTTCACCCTGACTCCTCAGAGAGCCAGGGGAATGAAGCCACAGCCGTCTGGCTCCTTGCTCTGTGTGCTGGTCTTTCTGCACTTCAGGCTAGCACATCTGGTTTCAGGGTTCCACGGCAACATCCCACATGCAACTAGGGTGCTTTTCCGCAATACGATGTTTACTCCTCATTGTCTACCTTGCCAATGAACAACTCTCAAACCATAGCAAAATATTTCTCGCAAGCTCCCAGGAAGGAATCATGGCAGCATGTCCAGGTTCACAACAAATGCCCCTGGGAACAGCTGCTCATATGTCCCGATGCTGGGACATCCACACATTGAGGGGAAACAGGCGAAAGCCCAGAGGAAGAACAGACAATCATGCCTGCAGGAACATTTCTTACGTGTCCTAGGCTATGGGAGAAAAACGAGTAACATCATCCACATGACCCTGCACTGCACGTACGGGTCATTTACAAATGCTATATCTTTTTCATTCACACTCAATAACAAGTCCCGATACAACGTCAGCCTAGGGGACTTAAGTCTTGGTGCAATGGGCTAGCTGTTGCTGTGACACCAGACTCCCATATTGGTGCCAGTTCAAGTCCAGGACACTCCAGTTCCAATCCAGCTCCCTGCCAATATGCTTGGTAAGGTAGGGGAGGATGGCTCCTGCCATGCACACATGGGAACCCAGAATTAAGTTCCTGGTTCCTGGATTCAGCCTGGCCCAACCATGGCTGCGTAGTCACCAGGGGAGTGAACTAGGGAATGGAAGACCTCTCTATAACTCTTTTCAATCAATCAATCAATGAAATCGAACAAAAATCAAAGTCAACAGGAGTAGTAGTGGTTAAAAACACATGGTAAAAAGACATTTGGGGATGTAAAGTGCAATGTCAGATGTTACACCAAGTAATTTGAGGGTTGGCATGCGATATTTGTCTAAAGGTTATGACCCCAAATGGATGCCTGCACCACATCAAAACGTTTGGTTTCAAGTCTCTCCTCCAACTTTCTACTTGTGTGCACTGAGGCAACAGGTGACAGCACCCACGAGGGACACCAAACTCAAGCGACAGGCTCCTGCTTCGAGGCTGCTCCACCCTCGCTGCTGTAGACACTGAGAGAGCTGACCAGACAACAGATTTGTCTATGTTCTTCTCCCATCCTTTCCTCTTTCCGCTTCTTGAATAAATCTTCCTTAAAACAATAAGCAGAAGCACATCATGTATCTGTAAGTGAATTTCGCCTGGATTAACATAAGCATCCCAGGGATACTGTTTTTAAACCTTCGAATCCATACTAACATGATTTGCAAGGTAAGGTCTCTAATCTACAGATGTCCAATGTTAGCAATTCACAGGCTGGCATTCTTCCTAAGGGCGATGGACAACAGTTAATTTTCCCAAACAAAAGCACAAATGCATTTAAAAAAAATATGGAGAGTACACAGGAAATAATGCAAAATCAGAACCAGGTGGGAAGAGGCAGGGCAGTGGCTGGGTCTATCACACAGACCCAGCCCATCCCGGGCACAGGGGCCAAGTGAAGCAAAGGGTTGCTTATTACAGAGGCTTTCCCTTTTACTAAAAAAGATGCCCCAAACATTACAGCTCAAAACTGCTGTGTGGCAGGACACAAAGGAAGAAACACACGTGCTATACTAAAGTATCCTCACATACATGCTCTGCCCTGCAAACAGCAACATCTCGTTCTGTGTCGTCTCTCACCTAGTTTGAGACAAAGACTGCTTAAACATGGATACGGCACTGTTCAGTGTAAGAACAAAATGTACAAATCATGCTATCTGAAATACAGAATACTGAAGTGTGCTTCCACATGAAACTCAGAGGTAACTGGGGTCAGTGTGGTGGCATAGGGGGTTAATTCCATATGGGCACCATGGGCTCAAGTCCCAGCTGCTCCCTTTTCAATCAGGTTTCCCGTGAAAAGGCCACCAGGAAAGCGGTGGAAGACGGTCCCTGTGTTTACACCCAAGCAGCACCAGGATGGAGTTCCAGACTCTTGGCTCTACCCTGACCCAGACCTGGCTGCTGAGGCCACTGGGGGAGTGAACCACAAGATGGAAAACGCCTCCCTCCCTGGCCCTCCCTGGCCTCTCTGGTTAGTCTACTTGTCACATAAAATAAATATCACTTTAAAAAAAATATGAAACAATGAAAAGGTAACATTTACCTTATCAGGGTTTATATTCCTGAAAAAACTGCGGTTGGAAGTAGAGCCAGCCCCAGCACTTGGATGGCTATGCGTCGGGGCTATCTCCTGGAACGTATATGTATGCACCTCAAACCCGAGACAGTTCCTAATTGAAACTCCCTGATTCCAATCTTCAGTCTGGCTTGTTAATGTATACTGATTTTGACATTTCCATAATGTTTCACAAAGGCTTTCAAACTCCTTTTTTTTTTTTGGCCTACTTGAAAAATCAAGACAAGGAGCTGTCTGAATATAGGAAGAAGAGTTGTAATCAAGGTGGAGACATTTCCCAACCGGCTGCTCCCAACCTGTCTGGCAGGAAATAGACTGTGCACACAACAGGTGCACTGATGCTGGGGAACGCAGGTCAGAGACTGCCGTCTCCTTGGTCTCACTTCATCATCATGTGCCGGGCTCTTGACACCAAACTGGAATCTGTGCCGGGTAGCAAAGTGGGTCAAGTTCACTTCTCCCAAATCCTCCTGCCATTATGAGGACTCCACATGACAGAAAACAGAGGCTGATTTATCATCCCTTGTAAAGTCCATTCTGACCCTCCAAGCTCGTCCTTATGCCAAGTTCTGAACTCAAAAGGGGAATCAGCGGGTGTCTCTAACTTGCTGCTCCAGTCTTTGACACATTGCTCAGGATGCTCTGTCAGGGAGAGGAGGAGCAGTTGGGGCTACAAGCGTTGGAATGCATATGTCCCTGCGTCTACCCCTTCCACCCACCTGGGGGCTATCCTTTACCAGTGCTGCCTCCACCTCCCAGCTTGTCTTTGATGTTCAGAAAGAAAAAAGCATTTATTGCTAAGCATTTCAGCAATGGGGAACCCACTGCCAGGGAATTAGAGAAGCTGTTTACTTCCCCCTCACTGTGCTCCGGACAGAAGAAAAAAACTGCACATTTATCCATGGTGACACAGAGAAATTAACACCGTGGCCGCCACACTGGCCCAGTTTTCCTTGTGTGTCACATACTAGCCCACAGCTGGGAAGGAGCAGCCATCCCACAGGCCGCCGTGTGTCTGCAGTTAACAAGCCGCACGGGAACGAGAGGCAAGGTGCATGGCGGCAGAAAATCAAACACACGGAGACGACACTCCGTGCACGGAGGGAAAGCACGTTTGGATCAGATCGTACAACACCAAGCAGACATGCAGTTCTCAGAAAGCTTGTAGAAGACGCCGTGAAAGGAAGGCCTTGAGAGCAGGGGTAGCTAAGCAGTAAGTTGAACTAGTACTGGCAAAGGCAGCCCTGGGTGCTCCGCTTCTGAACCATCATCTTACTAACGCACCTGGGAAGGCGGTCAAAAATGGCCCAGATTCCTGGGACCCGGACACCCACTTAGGACACCTGCATGGAGTTCCTGGCTTCTGGCTTCAGTCTGGCGTAGAATGTTTGAGGAGAGAAATCGGTAGAAGGGAAATCTTTCTCCCTTGCAAATACATGAACTAAAAAATAATGAGTTCATCCTGGCTCCATTTAATACCAATTAAAAATTTTTTAAAAAGGCCCTATGTACACATTTCCAAAAATGCTTCACTCAAATGAACTAATTTTTTTTTTCATTGTAAATTTGTGCAAGTTTACACATCAGAAAATCGCTCAGCTACTGAAGACTGTTAGGCAAATACTAAGTGACACAGATCAACATTCATGAGAAACGCTGGGTCTCTCCCTGCTATGTCACCCATTAGGTACGCTAATGCCCTATTTTCATGCTCTGTTTTTACAGTCCCTCTTCCTGCACCAGCAACCACCTTTCTGGAGGAAATTACTGCAGGCTCTACTTGGGCATGGAGGGCACAAGTGCCTTCCAATGTGCACCCAGGGCATAAAATATATTTTTCGAGAAAGCGAAAAGAAAACCGTGACAAATCTACAAGAAAAACAAAATTTGTGACATCACAGAACTGTGTGGCAGGTAGTTTCCAATTTGTTCCATCTAGAATGAAGACTTCTTTCTACAGACAATGTGTGTGACATGAAAATCCATCCATACACCTCTTTTTCAGATGTCCTTCCTCAAAAATGCTGGGGGGGTGGCAGGTGCCACTGGTACATTGTGTTCAGCCACCACGTGTAAAGCTAGCATCCCACATAGGAGCAGGTGTTGCTCCTCTCCTGTTCCAGCTTTCTGCTAATACACACCTTGGGAAGGTAGCAGATGATGGTTCAGCTACTGGACCATTTTGTGGGTTCTGGCTTCAGTCTGGCACTGCTCTGGCAACTGGGAAGTCAACCAGTGGCTCCTGTGCTTGTCTCCTCCCACTTCCCTCGCCTACAGCCTTCCCTCCCCTTGCTCCCACTTGCTTAAATTCTGCCTTTTGGGCCTGGTGTGATAGCGTAGTGGTTAAAGTTCTTGCCTTGCATCCATCGGGATCCCATATG